TATATCAATATACCAAATATCCTAACAGAAGTAGAACATATATAAAGTATGACAGATATAAATTTACATTTGTATCAATATAAAAATGTTTCAAATAAGAGTAGAGATATGTGTACATTATAATAAATATAGTTCTGTATTTGTATCAATATACAAATTATCTTAACTTTTGATCCAACAGTCACTTGTAGATACTTAGCTAAATAAATTGAAGTCAGGATCACAAAGAAATACTCTTATTTTCATGGTTCACTGCAGTATTACTCACAAGTTGTAGAATCAGTCAAAATGCCCATCAAGGGGTGAATAGATGAAGAAAACCACATATCCTTCCAGTAGAGTATTGTTGAATTTATGAAGAAGGAAATCCTATTATCCACAGCAATGTGAGAAACCCTTAAACCCAGTATATCAACTGAAGTATGTCAGTAAGAGGCCAGATGCCATGTACCACTTTGGGTAGCTGTGTGTATATCTAGTCATGCACAGGAATGAAAAGCAAAGTGGCTGTTTTTGGCTGGGGGATAAAGTGAGTAGGAAATGGATATTTGCTGTTTAGTGACTGTAAATTTTCAGGTATGCAAGGTTAAAGAAAAGAAAAGGTTGTAGGGATCTATTTTGCTGAATTGTGCTTGTATATTACATTGTGCAGTACACTAAAATTTTGTTCAATTGGTAGACCTTATGTTATATCCTTTTATCCCATTACCCAAAAAAGAATATTTGGTGAAATTAAAAGATTGAAATTTAAAACTACATCAGTTTTCATAGTTTTCTATGTTTATAGTTTTCAAAGAAAATTAAGAAAGTATGATCCATAAATTGTATAATAATGTAATTCTTTAAACAAATTTGTAAAAATGTGTATCAAAAACCATTAATTTGCCGGGCGGTGGTGGTGCACGCATTTAATCCCAGCACTTGGGAGGCAGAGGCAGGCGGATCTTTGTGAGTTTGAGGCCATTCTGGTCTACAGAGCGAGATCCAGGAAAGGCTCAAAGCTTCACAGAGAAACCCTGTCTCAAAAAACAAAAAACAAAAAAAAAAAAAAAAAAATTAATTTAGTTTTTTTTACAAGACAATAAAAACAGAGACTACACTTTACCTTAGATTAATTCAACTCAAGTAAATTGAACACTTGTTAGTTTATTTTATTAAGATTACTGTATTAAGTATTATTAAGTACAAAGAATA